CAGGAGGGACTAGGCCTCCCCACTTGATTTTCTCATCATCCAATCTGCCAAAGTTGTGTGGCCTCTAACCTGGGCAAGTTCTGCAAATGAGTCCCAGGCCAGCTAGTCTAGACACTGGATGAAAAAGTGGCTAGGCTTTCCAAACCCAGATTTAGTACTGGAGGGGTCAACAGGGAAGAGTCAAAATGGAACCAGCTAAATAATTTATGGGGCCCAATGCAAAATGAAAATGTCACCTCTAGTTTAAAAATTATTAAGAATTTCAAGACGGCAACAGCAGAGCATTATACCAAGCATGGGGCCCTTCCAAGCGTGGGGCCCTGAATGACTGCACAGGTGGCATACCTACAAAGCTCGCCCTGGGTTAGGCAAAGGTGGATTCCAGGACCTAAAAGGTCTCAGTCAGCAGAGGCTGCACCTAAAGGCAATGCCCAGAAAGACCTTAAGTGCTGGGCTAGATGAACAGGTGAGTGAGTCAAGTTGAATGAAACAGAACCAGTTTTAACTTCCAGCAAGTTGCCAGGAAAGAGGAAGGGGCACAGCAAATTGGAGCAAGAGTAAGTGTGCAGGGGTTATGGCCAGAGTGTGGGGTAGGGGGGCTGCAGGGTTAAAGCCTGGGAAGGCTATGGGAGCTGGGCAGGGAGGGCCTTCATGGCCAAGTTGGAGCCCAGTATCTGCCCAACCCAGTAGAGGCAGGAGCCCTCTTTCAGGAGGATGGAGAATCCTGCCAGAAACAGTACTGCAGGTCCCAAGCTCCCTGAATAATGGGTTTGATAATGGGGCAGGGGGTGTGGAGTCTGTGTTCCTGGAGAACCAAGGTTCTCAGGGAGCCAAGGACCAAACACTTATAATGACAGTGGCATAAATCTGTCCTTTCGTATCTTCTAGCTCTGTGCTTTTAGATCTCTTTTAATTTTCCTTTAATGTCTCAGTAAAATTCCTTTTGAATATTCCAACCCCCCTCCTCTGGGCTGAATGAAAAGGGACAAGGAAAGGATAGAAAATCTGGAGAAATGGAATTCCCTGGGTGAGGAGAGATGGTACCTGCCAATCTGCTTGGAGATCTGGCTGGAGTCATCACTAAGTTATCACACCTAGAGTGATGGGGTGGCTGCTCCTGGCTTATGTCCCCTTGGGGAGGCCCCTTACCCTATTTCAGCTACATGGTGTCATGGGAATTGTTGCCTTGGGTCTTGCTGAAATGCACATGTACCACTAGGCTATGTGGGCCCCAGACTGAGGAGCAGCGACCCATCTCAAGGAGCCCCTAGCAAGAGGCTCATTTATGACTTAGTGAGGAAGCTGGGCTCCAAGGAGCAGCCTCTCCTGGCTCCTGGAGTCCCCAGCCAGTACAACTCAACCCCTTGTTGAAAAGAGAGGTGAAAAGCTTAATGCTGGGTACAGATGAGGACACTGGGACACAGAGAGGGGCAGGAACTGCCCTGATCACTCAGCACCTCAGGGCTGGCACTGGACTCCAGGTCCCCTAGTGCCTTGTGTCACCAAGAGGGGGTCCACAGGAAGGAGCAGGGCCTCTTGTCTCAGATCCCTATCACTGTCGAGGGAAAGCAGGTTGGGGGTGCTCACTCCCTGAATGGACACTGAAAGGCAGCATCTCCCTTCAAAGGTGCCAGACAATGGAATGGTTGGCCAGACAGCCATTTGCTAAATTTGGATCCTAAGACTGTCTTCTGTTAACCCCTCCATGCCTAAGCATGTGGAGGCGGAGTGTTCACAATTCCTCCTTCCTTCTGAAAACACTTCAGCCCTGTTCCAGCTGCACTAGGAAGGAAGGTGGGTTTTCCTTGGCTATATCTGGACTCAGAGATCAGGGAATCAGATATCCAATGGTGGCTGGTCAGCGCTAGGCTGGAGCAGTGGCGGCACCTGAACGCTCCACCTGAACGCACTACCCGAGGGTCACTTTGCACGGGTCAAAGGCCAGAATGAAAGTAGGCAGAGGGCAGAGGGAAATCAGGCAGCTGGCCAGATGACAGTGAAGCTGAAGGCCACAGGAAGCCTGAGTGTGGATCATTATGAAGCAAGACCATAGCAAAGCAGGCATCAAGCCAGAAAAAAGAAATCAGGAATAATGCCAGCCGATCAAAGGTTTGTGGGTCACACAGAAATCAGGCCAGAGAAGGAAATCAGGCTTCAGAACAGACCAACGCCACCTGTGACTCGAGGGAAGGGAGCTGCGCCTCCCAGGGAAACCAGGTGGCAGGTACTCCGGCCGCACCCCCACCTCTCCCTCCCCCGCGGGCCCAGCCTCACTTGAGCTGCTGGGTAATAAGTTCCTCGTCGTTGAGATAGCGCAGCCGCTCCTCCTCCACCAGGGTGCGCTGCCGCTGCAGCGGGTCCTCCTGCCGCCGCGCCGCCTCCGACACGCGCATGCTCAGCTCTGCCTCCGTGCGCTTCAGCAGCGCGCGCACCGACTCCTGGTTCTGTAGCTGCGGGACGCACGGACGGATGGACCCGGGTGGGGGGAGCGGAGGCGCGCGGCAGGGGAAGGGACGGGAGAAGGCGGGAAGAGGATTGCCCAATCCAGGGCAGGGCTCAGCAGAAGATGTAGCTGCTTGGCTCCGCCTCAGGCAGCAGCGAAGGGGTGGGATGGCGAAGGGCAGGGGCAGAGGGCTAAGTTCTAGGGAAGGCAGGAGGAGAACGGATGGGGATCGTGGAGGGGGGAGCGTTTAAATGGGCCATGCAAAGGAGCAGCTGCATGGCTGTGGCCGCAAGCAGCAGTGACGGGGTGGTTATTGCAGGGGGAGGAGGGCAAGGTTAAGTTCTGGGGAATATGAGGCAGGAGAAGGGGTTGGGAATATTTGCGCGACAGGGTGTGGCCCTATGTAGGTCCCTGCCGACAGTGCGGCCGCATGGTTGTGGCTTCCATCATCCCGGAATGGGGACGGGACTGGAATGAAGGACTCAAGCGCTGGCGTTTGATAGACTTTCCACGGCTGGGACAGGAAGACTAAGTTAACCATTGATCTAACCCAATTCCAAGCCTGAATGGCGGGGGTGGGCGAGATCTTATCCTTTGCCCAGATGGCAATTCTCTGCCCCCTCCCCAGCCTGTCTCTGCTCATTATCCTCACCTGACGGGCCTTGGGCCCGCTTGAGGAGCGGACACGGCGATGCCAAGCTCCTGACAGGTGGGACCATCTGCCAGGCAGGGCCGGGGGAGACTGTCAGGGCTCAGGAGGGAGGAGCTGAGGGGACTTGGGGGAAGGGCTCTCGCTGACTTAGGGAAAGGGTTGCAGGGCAGGAAGAAACTGGAACTGCCCCGAGGGATACTGACGAAGGAGGGGCTCAGTGGGTGACTGGGGCTCCAGGAGGGCGATGGGGACTCAGGGAAGGAGAAGGAGGGCTCAATGAGGGGGATACGGGCGAGGGGTAGGGCCTTGGTGAGGAAGCGGAGGTTCAGCGAGGGGGCAGAAGCTCAAGAAAGGGGAAGGGGAGAAAGGGTTCGGAGAGAGACCAGTGAGTGGCGAAGGACTCGGGCGTGGGAGCTCTGGGAAAAGGATGAGGTAGTAGGGGATGGGACGGGACTTGTGGCAAGGGGCTTCGACCAGTAGGTGGGCGTTGGTGGGGCGATGCCCGGGACGGGGCGGTACCTGGAGCTTGCGCAACTGCTGGAGCTGGCCGCGCAAGTCACTGGCGCTGTTCTGCAGGCCTCGCAGGTGAAGCTGCATCTGTAGCCGACTAACGGCGGTAGGCTGCCCTGCAGGGGTGCTGCTGGCCGAGGGCGGGGGCGGGCCGGACACAGGGGTGGCCCCGCTGCTCCGGCCGCCTGACCCACAGGCTGCAGAGGACCACGAGGATGGGAGAAAGTGAACAAACTGTGAGCCTGGGAAGGACTGGGCTGGGACAGCGTCCTCCCTACTCTCCACCACATAGCCAGAGAACCCCGTGGCTCTGACTACCTGCCCCAAGTGGCCAGCCCTAAGGGTGGGGACCAAAGTGCCAGGGCAAAGACCTCTTGGGCTAAGGCTAGTGATGTAGCTATTGCTTAATCCCCACTTTATAGATTAGGAAGCAGCCTCTGAGAGAACAAGGATGGGGGAGGGGGAGGGTCACTCACGTGCTGAGGGGGTAGCTGCTCCATTGGAGCCTTCAATCTTCTCACTGTGGCACAGGGAAAAAAGCCATTAGGGGGTCCAGGCCAGCCCCAGACCTCCAGAGCTGGGTGGGACCTTAGATGTCATCTCCTCCAGCTCTCTGATGTCAGGATAGAGTCCCAGAGAAGGGAAGGGATTCACCCAGGGTCACCCAGTGAGACACTGGCAGAGCTGATGCCCATTTCCCCTTCCTCCTGCTCCACCCCCAGGCCCTGGCAGTGGTGTTGGGAGAGGGGCCTCACCTGGGGGTCTCAGGCTCAGAGCCTCGAAGTAAGGCGCTCTGCACCAGGCCTGTGAGGCTGGCAATCTGCTTCTCCATAGCCTCCATGCGCTCCCTGGGGAGGAAGGGGGTCTGGGCAACCTCGCCTCTGAGCATAGGGTCTCTCCTGCCCAGCCCCCCATTCCTAAATTGGTAACCAGAAGAAACACCGTCCCATCCCTGGCTACCAAAACACAGACAACCCAAAGGGCCCCAAGCCTAAGGATCAGGTCCAAAGCCTCCCATCTCACCTTTCACTCCCTTCCTAAAAGCTGCACGCTGATCTCTCCATGCCTAGCAATGCTTTCCCCTGCCTGCTCTGCCTTTCTCCTGACCCCCTCCCAAAAACATTCCACAGACCCCAGGAGCCCGGAGGAACCCCTCCTTCCACACCACCCAAGGGAAGTGAAGGTATGTTGAGTGTCTCCCCACTAGACCAGGACAGGAACTGGGTTTGCCCAGCTTGGCACTGACAGTAGCGTGTGCAGTGCCTGGCACACAGGCCACGTAAGAGCTGTGTGAAGGCCAATGGCTTCTCACTGCTCAGCAGCGCTGCCTGAGGGCGCAGGTTACCTACTGCCCTGGTTACCTCCTCCAGCCCTGCACCCTTAGGAGGGGACTGAGCGATGGGCAGGGGCTCCTCAGCCTGGAGGCTAGGTACCCGAATGTGCTCCTTTCCCCGTCGCCATTTCTCAATAGCAACCTCCTCCCCAGTGGACTTCAGCTGTCCCGGTGCTGGACAGCTCTCACTGCTGCAAACTCTTAAGCTGGAAAGCCACTAAAAGTGGTTCAGCCCCTCAATTTTACAGTTGGGGAAACCGAAGCTTAGAAAATGGATGCAAACACAAGTCTCCAGAGTCCTCGTCTGGGGACCTCTCAACTACCCCCTTGAGTCTTGCGGATGGGAGGAAAATGACAAGCTGGTCTTTCCAATGCCCTCCCTGCCATATCCAAGATGCTTTCTGGCGACCCTTCAAGACTACTCAAGGTCTCCAAAGGACTCCGGGATCTCAGTCCAGGACACACACCTGCCACGGACTCTGCCGTGCACCCTCTCCGCAGCGCACCCCCCACCCCCAGTCCCTGAAGCCTGATTAACGTCCCTCACCTGGTCTCCGTGTCCTTGACTGGCACTGGCGGCCCGAACCCCACCAGCGAGCGCTCCCCAGGCCCAGGGAAGAGCTCCGAAGGGGGAGCTCCGGCTGTCGAGGCGCTCCCCGCGCTGCGGGTCTTCCCTCCAGGACTCTCGGCGAAGACGGACGAGGAGCCCGAGTCCTTGCGGAAGGACTGGCGCACTGGCGAGCCGCGGCTGGGCGGCCCCGAGTAGGGGCTGTGCGGCGGCGGGGGGCCTCCGGGGGGCCCTGCCACGTCGGCCAGCTTCTGCGGTGACGAGGGCGGCAGGCGGAAGCCGTAGCCGTCGCCGTACAGCGGGCCGCCGCCGCCGCCCGCAGCCTTGTACAGGGAGTCCTCCAGATCCGACTGCAGAGCGGCGGCCGAGTAGGTGCTTAGCGAGCGCACCGAGCCGCGCTTGTAGAGGCCGCCAGCTCCCGGGTAGGCGAACGGGTCGCCGGCGGCCGCGGCCAGGCTCAGACGGCCCTCGTGCAGTAACCCGTAGGGGTCTGCATAGAGACCCTCGCCCTTCACCAGCACCATGCCGCCCGCCTTGCCCGCCAGGTCCTCGTCCGGCTTCACGTCGCGCCGCTCCAGGATGGCGCTGGGGCTGGGGCTGACGCCCTGGGCGGGCGGGGCGCCTCCCAGCCTTTCGGCCGCGTGGTGCACCGGGCTGCCGGCGTACGAGGGCGGGCGCCCCCCGGCGTACGAGAGACGCGAGCGCGACGGCGAGCCGGACTGCAGCCCGGATGGCAGCCCCGACGGCAGCCCGGGCGGCGGCGAGCCGGACGCCAGGTGCGGCGCTGGCGACAGATTGTTGAGGCGCCGCGTGGGCGACGACTCCCGCGACGCGTACACCATCTCTCTCTGCGCAGAAGACAGCCCGGAACCCCACGGGGCTGGTCACCAAAGACACCCCTGCCCCTTGCTTGAGCAGCCAGCATCTCCTCCCTGACGCTTAGGAAGTCCCTTCAGGTCTCAGCCCTCCCTCCATCCTGCTGCGTCTAGGGCCCCTTTCCCATCAGGGTTTCCAGCATGGCGGAAAAGGTGGCTGATGAAGAGGCACCAGAGGGGTAACCTTCAGCTCAGCTACCGTGAGGGGTGGGATGTAGAAGGGGAAGCGGTGGCTCCAGCTCCTGAGAGAGGCCTTAGAATATCTGGAGGCAAATTAGCAAAATCCCAAGTGGACAGGCCCGGAATGGAGAGGAAAGTAGCAGGTGGGAGAGGGGCTCTTCCCTAACCCTTCAGCCCCTATGCTCCCTTCTCCAAAACTGGCCCTGGTTCCCGATGACAACTTCCCAGACCCTGCTCCCCTGGACCCCATGTGCCCAGCCTCCCCAATGCCCTGGGCATGCCCAGCCATACCCGGAGGTCCCCGTTGGTGAGGTGTGAGCCAGGGAAGGCAGCGTAGAGGGGCTCCTTCCTATAGATCTTGATTATACTGCGGTCCTGGATGTCCCTGGGAGAGGCGGGGGGACGGGGGTCACCACCCATCTCCCAGCCGTGCACAATGAGAAGGGGTGGCTTCTCCAGGCCAAGAGAAGAGGGGTGGCCAGAGGCACCGGGAGCCCCAACTCTTTCCTAAATCCTTCGCTCAGGCTGCCTGCCACAAGCACACACGCCCAGCAGCCTCCACCCCGGCCTCGTCCTGGTCTCAGGCGCCATTTTCAGGTTAGCTCAAAGCAAAGGGAACCAGCGGGGGTGGATGATTTAGACAGGGGGTGGGGCTGAGATGGCCCAGGAAGGGGGCGGGGCGGTAGGGCTCTGGGAGGGGAGGGGAAAGGCTGAGATCGGGTCAGGAAGGAGCTGGGGAAGGGCCGGCGGGGTCCAGCACCCGGCAGAGGAGGAGTGTGGGAAAGCCCCCCGCATCCCCCTGGGGCTACGCCCACCGGACGTCCTCCAGCTCGTAGAAGACGTTGCGAGCCTCGTCTTTGATGAGGATGGCGGTATTGGGCGACTTAAGCATGCCCATGGTGAGCTTCTGCGGGAACATATGCGCGATGAGTGCGTGCAGCGTGTCCAGGCTGCTGACCTCGTGCGTGATGTGCACGCGCCGAGTCTCCTCCCCGAACTGCAGGAACAGCACCCCTGCGAAGGAGACACCGCTCTCGCTGTCACTGCCGCCGTCTCCACGCCGCCCTCCAGGAGAACGCGGGGAGCTTTCGGGAGCTGCGCCAGCCCGGCAGCGGCAGGGTCTGAGGCCAGACGCCGCCCCCGAGTGCAGGTGCACCCAGGCACCTCTCATGCTGCCGGCGGGGACGCCAGGCCGGGTCTCCAGCCTCTCAAGGCACTCACTGGACTCCAGGCAGTTGGAGGAATTTGGACAAGAAAATGGAAGTAGGGGTAGGAGCAGGTGGGACGGAAACTGAGAGGAAGTGAGCTGATGGAGAGAGAGGTTGGAGAGAGTTAGAGAAGGGAGATGGGAGAGAAGGGAGGGACGAAAGAAACGGACAGAAAAGGAAGCAGGAGGGAGAGAGGAGGCTTGGAGGAAAAGGGGTTGGGTGGGGATGCTGAGGGCAAGAGAGAAATGGAGAGAGCTGGGGTTGCTGAGGGAGAGAGAGCAGAGCTTGAGGCGAGCTGGCATGCTGCAGGGGAGGAGGGGGCTCCAGAGAGTGAAGAGCAGAGGGAGGAGCCTGTGCCGGGAGGGAGGGTGGACCGAGCGGGCAGTACCTGGGGAGCGCAGCTTGGTCTGGCTGGCCGAGCGGGAGAGAGGCAGGCTCTGTCGGAAGCGGTTCATCCTGCTGAAACCCAGGGGCAGCTCGGCCTCCGACATGGTCTCCAGCGACTCGGCCGAGGCGTAGGACAGCTTTGCCGCCTGGTCTGCCAGCCCAGGCTGGGCTCCCTGAGTGTGGCGTGAGCTGCGGGTCTGCAGGGGCCGGGCAGGGCGAGAGGAATCAAGGATGAGCACCCCCTGTCACTGCCCATATCCAGGCCTGGGAAGGTCCTGCCACCCAGTGACACCCAAACAGATTACAGACTCCTGGCATGGCCACAAGAGAGTTCCCCAGTCTCTCCCGGCCTTGGCCTCCCTGGGACACCTGGCAGGTAAGGAGTGGGCAAAGGACCCCTCACCCTGGGAAGACAGACAAGAGGCCATGTGAGTGGGAGCCATGGGCACGGCTGCTATTTCAGGCTTCCGAAGAACAACAACAACACAAATTTGTTACCGAGGTGAGCAGCAGAATAGTTGAGCAAATTGGGGCATTAGTTCCAGACATTAATTAAGTGGTGGGTTTGTGAGCAGATAATTTATTCTTCATGGAGTTCAGAGGGTGGGGGTGGGGTGGGAAGCAGGGCCCAGGGAGAAAGCAAAGAGAGCTGGGACCCCAGGATCCCAGTTTTGAGGGGATGCAGACCCTGACAGAGCTGGACAGAGGGAATGTCCTTGATTTAGGGTGACTGAGAAAACTATCCCAAACTTCTCAAAGCCAGCTGGACCTGGATTTGAGACGACCTGCCCAGTGCCCACAATGCACATGTTAAGTCTGATGTGACACGCATGCACACATGACACATGTGCCAGGCCTCAGCCCCTCCTTGCAAGGCACATGCTGCCACACAGCCAGCCAACCTCCCCCAGGACCCTCTGAGAGACAGCAGCCACTTCTCTGAAGCTGTAGCTGAGGCTGATATCTGGCAGGGGGTAGGGAAGGATGTCACAGGATAGCTTGATGGCTCTCTCAGTGGGGGAGGAGGAGTCAGGATTATTTCAACCACACTTTAAGAGCCTACTTTTGGCTGAAACCTGGGGATGTCACTCAGGACCACAGCCCCTGACATTCTGCCCTAGTCCCTGGGCAAGAAATCTGGTGGTTGTACAGAAACTGGTACAAGGAGTGAGATAATGAATCCGATCTACATCTTTCCATGTTATGTGCATTATATACACATATGTATTACATATACATATACTGTCAAGAAATAATGTTGCCCAATTATATTTTTTTGTAAAACAAATTGTCTATTTCTAACAACAAATCACTCAAAACCATTAACACTGGTTATCTCAGGGTTGACAGTTTCCTTTTTTGACTTTATAGATTTCTTTACAAAACTGTGTGAATAGATTCCTTTTATAATTAAAAAAAGACAACAATAAAATATCTCTAAAAAGGAATGATTTATTCTCCTCTTCAGCTCCCTCTCTTCCCAATTCCTGATTTACCCCTAATTAATCTCCATCTTCATATTAACTCAATTTAATGTTCCAATTGGATTAGCACTCTTAAAGGGAGAGCATCTTCTTCTGATGGGCAGTATGCCCAGCTGTCCCCAAGGTGGCCTTGAGGGTTTGGGGACCATAATAGATCAGATGTGAGGATCAGGAAGCTTCCCCTCTCAAGCACAATGCCTTGACCACTGGGCGGGCGCGGGTCTTGGCAGGAGGAAGGCAGCACAGAAACGGGCCGGGGGCAGCAGGGAGGGGCCACTTGTGCTTGTGACCGAGAGGCTATGGCTCAGCTCTAGGCTGACCACCAGTGCCAGCCCACACCCCTCTGTCTCACCTTCATCCCAGCTGAAGGGCGGGGAGCTCTGCAGCAGTGTGGGGAACCAGGCCTGGTCTGGTGGTCATGGGGTTGCCTGGCAACTAAAAGGTCAGTGGTTGCCAGGCTGGTGCGGATGAGGGGCTACAGAATTCAGGCAGCATGAGGCAGCCAGCAATGATGAAGAATAGGGGGTGGCCATGGTGCCAGGGGGGACACCAGTGAGGTGCCAGTAAGGAGGTGGAACAGGGGTCCAAATGAAGGGAGGCAGGGCAGGGATCCTGGGGGTTGCTGCCTGCCAAGAAGGCAGAAACCCTGGGAGAAGAGATGCTCCACCACTTCCTAGCCCCATGGGCACCTTTCCATTCTCACAGCCTGTACAGAAAACCCTCTCGAGAGGAGGGAAAACCTGCTGCCACTTCTCTCCATCCTTGGGCTGAGACAATAGGGCAGAGGAAAGTGAAACATCCAGAAGGACTTCCCCACCATAAGGAAGATGGCAGAAGAACAAAACAGTGAGTCAAGCAGAGCTCTCCAAAGATAGGACAGGGGTTGCCATGGGAGGTAGAGAGCGCCTATCACCAGGGTGTTTCAGGGAGTGCTCATGGATCTGAGATTCCCAGAGGTTGTCCATAGACTAGGAAAGAGTCACTTGGGAGCTTTTTAAAATACCCTTTCCAGGACCCCATATTCACTGAACCAGAATCTCTGGGGATTGGAGCCTGAGGTTCGAGATTTTTGACAAGTTCCTAAGGCGATTCTGATTTCTAGGTTTGAGAATCAAGGCAGAGTCCATGATTCAGTAGCTAATGAGGTGAGCTACCTCACCAGGAGCCAGGCACTGCCAGGAACATGCGTTCCCTCTTTTTTTCTCTTTCTTTTCTTTCCTTTCTTTCTTTCCTTTCTTTCTTTTCTTTCTTTTTTTTTTTTTTTTTTTTCCTGAGATACGTCCTTGCTCTGTCACCCAGGCTGGAGTGCAGTGGTGCGAACATAGCTCACTGCAGCCTCAATCTCCCATATTCAAGTGATCCTCCCACCTCAGCCTCTCTCCTCAGCCAACAACTTCTCACTACATTGCCCAGGCTGGTGTCGAACTCCTGGGCTCAAGCGTTCCACATGCCTCGGCCTCCAAAAGTGCTGAGATTACAGGCATGACCCAGCACATCCGGCCTTTTTTTCCTGTCTTTACAACAATTTTATGATGCAGACATTGTGGTTCCACTCTACAGAGGAGAAACCATGGCTGACAGGATATGTAACGTGCCCCAGGTCACCAAGCTAGTTAGCAGCACACTGGATGGAATTCACCACTAAGCAGCCTGGCTCTGGGGTCCATGCACTTAACCACTACCCTCAACTGCCTCCTCCAAAGAGGCTATGCTTGACACCATGACTTTGACTCCATGATTCTCTGATTCAAGGACTTCTTGCAGTGCTAGGAAGAATGCATGCAAGTAAGACACCTGGGGAGTCTGGGTGGGATGCCTCCCACCCCCTGTCATGATGCCTGGGACTTGGGAGGCCAGAGACTCCAGGAGGCAAGCAGGTGCCTGAGGCTGCTCCCCCAAGGGTCAGCAGGATACCCTGGGAAGGGCAGACAGCTCTATCAGCTTGGAAAGGCCAGAGCTCAGGAGGAGGCAGGAAGGTACCTATCCCTGAGCTTAGCCCTCCACTTAGACAAAAGGCTTGAGGGTGTAGGACTAAGAGTCTCCTGCCTAGCACTGACCAGTCCCCATGGTGGAGAGAAAGAAAAGGAAGAGGGACCCATCACAGTTACAGGGCCTCCCTGGGAGGTGAGATATGAATTCAAAGAAGAGGGCCCACAACAAGGGTCTAGGTCCCTAACTCAGAGCCAGCAGTCTCTCCAGGCTAGGGAAAATGTATGCCATTCCAAAATGCCCCTCAGGGGCTAGGGATGCCTGGGGACTGAGAATTTCTAGCCCAGACCCCCAGCAAGGGCGGCCCAAACTCCCACTCCATCCCGAAGCCCCTGACAGGCGAACCCAGACTCTCCCAAAGCAGCAGTCACAGCCTGCAGCCTCAAGGCCCACCACCCATACCAGAAGGTGCCCGTGCAGACGCGCACCCCAGTGCAAAGCCTGTGCAAGGGAGAGGCAGGGGCAGGGGAGGGAGAGCACATGCAGTTGTCATGGGAGCAGAGGCATCACACACTGACCTTGAAACTCCAGTAGTTTGGCTGCTGATGGAAATAAGAGAAGAGATGGTTATGAGGGGGCCCAGGAGGGGAAAAGAGGGGCAGGGGCAGGTTAGAGACCCTTGGAACTCAGCACTCAGCCCTAGGACAAGGGCCCGCCACCCTCCCAGGAGCAGGAAGGAAGTCATGCTTGATACATCCATTCTCTACTGAGACCTGGAACACCATGGTATACCCAGCATGGCCCCAAGCAGGCGCTACAGCGACTCCTCCCAGAGTTACCGGTGGGAAAAGGCACACAGGATGGTGATAGAGCAAACCCATGAGGCAGTCACAAGAGAGGCAGTGACAAAGCTGAGCTGTGGGGTCAGAGAAATGGCAGGCCAGGGAACAGTGCTTGGAAGAGGTGGCATTTGAGATGGGTCTGGAAAAACCAGCAGCTGGAGACTGGGAGGAGAGGCCTGCTGGGCAGGGGGTATGGCGTGGGCAAGTGCCCAGGGGCAAACAAGTGGAGACGGAGTTGAGGGAAGTCGCTAGTCCACGTTGGCTGGGGTGCAGCTGGGAAAGTAGCAGATTAGGCTGCAAAGGGTGGGGAGTGGGAGGCTGAGGCCAGATGATGAGTGGCCATAACTGCTGAGAGAAAGTATTTAGACTTCTCGGTGGACAAGCAGAAAGTGTTTGAATGGAGCAGAGTGGAATCAGAACTAGACCCTGGGGCAGGAGTGGATCGGGTGGATCAGGGTGAATGGGGCAGGGGTCGGAGGAGGGGGGCTAGGGGCCAAGGCCAAGAGAGAGAGGCCTATACAGCATAATGGATCTAGTTTACAGAGCAGAGCAGCCAGATGCCAAGAACCTCACTCACTGGGCAATCAATGGCTGGGGAGCTGGAGGCAGTGAAGGGAGTTGGGGAGACTGGGGACGGTGGCTGGCTGGGATTGAGGAGTGCTCCTCGCATCCCTCTTAGCATCCCTAGAATGGGAAGCTGGAGAGTCCCCCTCATTTGCAGTAACCGAGGGTTGCCCTACCTTCCCTAGAGACCAGAAGGCCCTTCCAGATGGCTTAGTACAAGGAAGGAGCAGCCCTGGGGCTGGGTTGGTTCTTGGCAAAGCCGAGGCACCCTGCTGACCGGTGCCAGCCTCAGCAGGGAGATGGAGGCAGCAGATGGCCTGGCCCGGGGGTGCCTGGCACGAGCAGACAACATCCCCAGGCCTTAGAGCCACTGGCAGAGGAGAGGGACATTCAGGGCGCCCCTGGGGGAAGAAACACCATGCCAGGGTGTCCTGGGCCACCTGAATGCTTTCCTGGCAGGGAGGAGTTGGAAGGGGCTGAGTCGAGGGACACTCTGGCTGGAGGCTTTACCTAAGGCAGACTTTTGGGGTAGGGGTGACACTGGGCTGGGGCTGGGACCAAGAGGGTTATTTGCCAGGACCCCCTCCTAAGCCATCATCCCCATCCTTCCCCCAACATTCGCTCTGGAAAACAAACAAACAACAACAAACAAACAAACAGTCACATACCAGGCAGGAGAAGGGGACAACAAAGTCTGTAGTCTGTGTCCCAGCCAATGCCTGGAATCATCCCTGGACTGAGGCCACCCCCAGTGGTGCTAGGGGATGCCCACAGGTACTGAGGGTAGGGGAGACCAGGGGCCAAGTAACAGGCTCCAGCAGCAGCTGACTGTGGCCTGGGGAAGGGGAGGGGTAGCAAAGGGAGTGGACACGTGGGGGCAGGCAGAGGGCACCGGAAGGTTTTGAGGACAGTCACATCTGTAGACCCAGCGGTGATGGACTGCTCTGCAGAGAAGGCCTCGAGTCCCTCACCCACCACTACTATGACACCAGGCACGGGTGGCACACACATGGGCCACCCATAGCTCCCCGAAACATGCAGGCTCACTCACAGCTGAGCCCAGACTCTCAGACACATCTTCTGATAAGGACATCTCCACAGACACCCAGAGCGACACACACACACACACCCCTACTGAGAGAGGGGCTCCCCAGTCAGAAACAGCCCTGGAAACAAACAGAAACTCAGAGACAGAGACATTCACACATAGATCGCCCCCACTCATACACAAACGTGTTCCCCTCCCTCCAGGCCCCTGCCTCGCTTACACACTCTCACAAGCACCACAGCCAGTCACAGAGGACAAGAGGTGCTGATAGCACTCACACTCACCCTCAAAACACTGCAGCCACAGAAACAGAGACACGGTGCCCACCCACAGTGAGACACGCACTCCGGCTATCGAAACACACACAAAGCAATGCACACACCACGCACACACACACATGCACACACACATGGCCTCAGAGCCACCCATGTACAAAGAGAAAGCCCCTGATCAGGGTGCCACTGTCCCATGCCTATCATGTTCCAGATATCATGAGTCAGGGAGGTGACCTCTGATGCAAAAGAGATAGAAGATGTCCTGTCTCCCACCCTGCCACCAGTGTCAACACATCAGACTCAGGGTACCTTGTTCGGATGACTGGGGCCCACCTCGTTGTCCTGGGAGAGAGATAAGGACAGGGCCTAGCCACAGCCACACTGGCTATGGCCTCCACGTGGGCCTGCCCCAGGGTCCCAAGGCTGTGCACATCCATGGGGCAGTCACCTGGAAGGGACATATCACTAGCAGCAGCCAAGGGAGAGGACTGAGTGGCATCAGTGCCATAGGAAAGACCAGTCAAGTCCCTCAAAGGATAAAGATGGAAGAGGGGCTGCGGTTGTGCTGGTCACTTGGATGCATGAAAGATGTTGAGATCAAAATATGGAGCTTCAGACTCTGATCTGTAGAGTACGTGAGTGAATCCTGCCCCTCCATCATCTGTCCTCCCTCTGGAAAGTGGGAAGAATGATCCTCTTTCATGTTGGCCCCACCAGGAACGAACCACGGGTGGCCCCACCCCACAGTCTCTTGGCAACTCAGTGTCTCTGGTGAGATAAACTGAGGTGGGGGAGGCCTCCGGGGATATCGCCCATCCCCTTCTCTGTCTCTTTCCAGGATTTTAACCCATGGGACAGACTAGGGTGACTGAGAGCAAACGGCTCCTGCCCTGTTCTCTAAGGTGGGACATTCCTAGTCACTCTCCTTCCAACTTCCAGCACCCTTTACCTCCTCACCCCTTTCCAGGTTATCTGTTCCTCCTGCTGTGCCCAGTAGTACCTGGTGGATAGCAGGCGCTCAACAAGTATGTAACGATGAATGAATGTCAATAAAATAGGACCGAGCCATGAGTGGAGGGTGGGATCTCTGAATGCTCAGGTCTGGCACCACTCCCTCCATCTCCTGGCACCCAGCACTGCTCAGCCTTCTGGGCCTTTTCCCTGGGAATTTCCCAACACCAGAAACCCCCCAGTTAGGAGGGCAGAGGGCAAGGAGGGTCAGGAGAGGTCTGGCTGTCCACTCCAAGCCAAATCTTCCAGTGCCAAAGCTGCCCACCTCTGCCACAGTCAGGGAGGGGGTCTCACCTTCCCAAAAGACAGTGAAAGGGGGAAATAAATAAAGGAGTGAGTAGGAGAGACCCCAGCAGGGGCAACCACTTGTGTAGAGGAATCTTAAAAGGAGCTGGGGCAAAATGAGAGGTGATCTAAGAGGGTAAGATGGAAGCATAGGACCCTAGGGACCAGGCTTTGAGAAACGGGGGAGGGGAGCGTCTCTCAAGGCCCCAGGAAGTCAGGCCAGGGAGTCCTCAAACTCCTGGTGAGAAGAAACAGCTTCTTCCCTCTGGGAGCTAAGGAGTTAACTCCCTTCCTCTCTCCTCCATCCTAGCCACTGGTAGCCGGGTTCCTACTTCCCCTGCTGCCGGTCTTTCCCTCCTCAGCCCTCATGCCCTGGGAGTGGAGGGGCTAGGGCCCCTGGGGAGGCTTGGCCCAGCCAGCTGAGGTCTCTTTCCTCCCCTAGGCAGGCATCCCCAGCAGGCTCAGTGAGCGCATGACCCCTTCTTGACCTCAAGCCCCGACCACGCATCTTCCAAGGAGGGAGAGCAACCCACGGGTCCGCACCGGCTCCTTAATCCCCTGGCTCTGCTGCACCGGTGCACACACCCACCTCTCAACTCCCATGAACACGAGTCCGTGTAAACACTCGTCCCCCCGGCTGGGGCTAAGCCACTCGCCCCCCCTCGGGCGCCTGCCCCCACCGCGATGTATATGCACGACCCTCTCCTCCAGATGTGCAGATGACACCCTCATCTCCTTCCCAACGCAGAGTGTGTGTGGGTGGGTGCGGGGGGTGCTGTGGGACTCTGGGGGCGAGGGCGCACCCCGGGAAGGTCATGACTTTCCGAGGTTGGGGGAGGGGGCGCCAGCCTGATTTTGGAGTGGGGGCCGGCCCACGCCGAAGGCACCTAATGCAGTGGGGGAGGGGAGGAGGCGTTTCTCAGGGATCGGGAACCTGCAATGGCCTGGGCGTCCCCCACCCCTGGATGGCTCTCGGTGTCGCGGAGCGGGCCCCCATCTCCGTGTCCCCGCCCCTCGCCCAACCCGA